CCTTCAGATGTATCAATAACAAAATAGCTCTCAAAGTTTATCAAAATAAACCTAGTATCAATACCCTTATCCAGAGTATTGATACTCACCTGATGGTACCAATACCTACCCTAAGTATCAATATCAATTTAAGCCCTGAAGTTTGAAAATAAACCATGTATTGATATCACTACCTTTGGTATCGATACTCGACGTACATTATTTATACCTCAAGAACATTGTATCGATACTATCCAACTACATCTCAAATCTTGACCCTCGTATGAGCAATATCAATACTAAATCATTCAGTATCATTACTCAAGCACATAAATATCTTGTATTTTAGGGGAATCTCATCCCAACTCTCCTCAATCACATATCTAAGGCCTTATGGTGATGTTTAAATCTTATGAGAATCATAAAGGGCCATAATATATCATTTTTATACATGAATAACAACAAATCCTTCTCAAACCAATCCCCAAGTAAAATGCACACATTATGCTACACGCATTCATACAAGCAAACAAGCTACACATGTTGATCTACAAGTGTTATAGTTGAGTTAGAAGTGTGACACATTACTCCAAAACAGCTAGAATCCCTCTTAGCTTAACCAATCATAAACTTTTCATTGTTCTTATCTTTAAAGCTTTGTCCCACTTCTCTCACTAATCAACAAGAAAGAAACAAGTTATTAACTTATCTAGGAACTTGAAAAGAAGTCAAAGAAACTTCCTACATACTGAAATACAATCAAAATGGGTTGATTAAGTTAAGGGTTCTAAAACCTATTCTAAACCCTCACCATGGCCAAACTTATAGAAAGAGAGCTTGAATTGAAGCTTTAAGTGAGGAGATTATATTATTTAACTTTGTAAACTCGGACTAGGAATGTTGGACAAAAAAGTTCTTACCTTTAATCAAGCTACCGAGAATAAAAGATATATTATAAAATGAAATATTTTTATTAATGTGTCATGTTATCAAACTAACGACATTTAACGTCTAAGTGACCAAAACTTAATAAAACGATAACATTCCAAAATTATTTATAGATAAAATGGTATTTAAATTTATGGGTCAAATTAGTATTTTATCTCAGGTTTAAGGATTAAATTTAAAATTAACCTCAAATTAAAAATTACACTCTTTTTAAAATAATGTATCACGCCATCAAACTAACCACATTTAACGTTACATTGATCAAAATGTTATAAATCGATAACACAACTACAAAAGTGACAAAAAATTATAAATTGATAACATAAGTGACACGAATATTATTTTAGTCACTCACATTATCATTTTATTAAATTTTGGTCACTTGAACGTTGAATGTCGTTAGTATGTGATGTGACACATTAATAAAATGGTTTAATTTTTATTTTAACCTCCGGATTTTAGATAAAATACTAATTTGGACCTTTTTGTAAATCTAAAACAACTTAGAGACAAGTTTTTAATTTATCTTTTATAATATGTTTTTCTTCATCTTTGTCGAAGCCCTAACCCCTTGTGTTGGCTCTCTCTTCATCTTCTTCGTCACCGATAATCTATGTTCGACTTTCAAGCATCCATTATGAATATATAAAATAATCTATGTTCGATTTCGCAACCAGCGTCTTCGAATCCAATGCCGATTTCAAGATCGTTGCGACGGAACATCATACGAAGTTGATGACACTTTTCCAAAACTATACCGTGTTAGAAACATCGGAATAGATACTGGCTCCGGTGATGGTGTCGTCTCACACCAAACCCTACCCTTATGTCGTATTGTATTGCCATAGCCAGTTGACGGAGAACAGAGTTTTTAAGGTATCATTGGGTGGTAAGAATGGTGATTGGGTGACCGCGCTTGCTGTTGTCACATGGATACTTTGCAGTGGAACCGAAACCATGTGTCGTTTCGCGTGCTGGGGATCAAACTTGGGACACTTCCTGTCTGCCTTTTCTTCCCGGCGGACAACTTTGTTCTTGTTCCGGACACTTGAATTTGAAATACTTGTGTTTGTTGCGAGACATGTGTTGTCTCGAGTAATAAAAACTTTATAGAAGATAGATTAAATTATTTCTGTTTTGATGTTCCAATTATTTTTTCTTTAAAATTATATTTAATGTTATGTTTTGCTTTATTTTAGTCACCTACCATTTAGTTTGGTAGTTAAATTAACGAAAACAATGATATCTCATGGTTTAATAATAGTTTTAGTCCTCAAAATTTACACAGTGTATTAAATTAGTCATAATTTAAAATAATTCAATAGATTACTTTTGTCGTTAAAATTTTGACTTTCTGTCAAATTTTGGCCACGGTCTCGTTAAAATTTTGCTAAAACCCCTTTCGAATTGAAGTTACAATATCTTCCATGGGTAATTATAGTTGGCTTTCTGGAACAAGAACTTGGAAATTAACTGAATGCAAAGTGATGTTTTATTCGGTTACATGCATGCACCACGAGTCATGGTTTTCGTAAATCGGCCATCAAGTATTAATAAATTAAATCCTACATCAAGCATTAAAAAATTAAAAAAATATTTTAAATTAAAATATGAATCAAATTAATAGGATTTTGAAATATTGAGCTTTTATTGAATTATTTCAAATTATGATGAATTTAATAGAATATGTGAGTTTTGATGACTAATATTGTTATTATACTATGCCATAACATCATTTTCGTTATAGTCAAATTGAACATTGGGAGACAAAAATAGAAACGTAGTGTTAGAAATGGTTGTGAAAAAAAAAGTTGAGTGACCAAAACAAAAACATGAGAATAGATGGGTGACAAATAATTAGTTTAACCTAAAAATAATTAAGTCCTCAAATTTTATAGAAAATCATTTAAATTTTATGCCATATCATCATTCACATGTTATCTGTTTTCTTCAAAGCTCTAAGAAGATTAATACCAATAATCAAAACAGAAAATGAGAATAGATGGTTTGACTGGACCGGTTCGATCTAGCTGGATCGGTTTCAGAAGCTTCCTGGAGCGGCAGACAAATCTCACGTGCACTATAGGCGTGTGACGGCTTGTACGGCGGCAACAAGGGTCGGGACGGACGGCCGAAGACTCCCGAAGCATTCTCACACCAAAACAATCCCAAATCAATACCAATAATCAACTAAAACCAAATAAAAATGAGAAAGGGAGCGATTGGAGTTCATTACCAATGGTGACCGGAGAAAAACACGACGACAGGGACACTGCCAACTGGGCCCTAACTGCGACTGAATGGGGACTCAATGGTGAGGGTGGTGTAATTCAACGGGGACGTAATCAACGTAAATTTAAAGAAGTCGAAGGCGGTGGCTTGGTTTCCCATCGAACGCTTCAAACGTCAATTCTCAACAAATGTCAACATATCAAGGCAAGGGACAATGGGGTTTTTGATCGCACGGCACCGACGGTCCCAACGGCGATGGTGGTGCACGACACTGTCGACCAGAGCTTAAACGACGATGAGGGAAGTGGTTTTGGATGAGGAGACCAATCCCTTACACTCACAACAAGATAACTGAACCACTTCAGCCCTAACCCGATTATCACCTAGCTTTAAAGATAGCATCCCTAGATAAACTATCAGTAGTCAGCCAATCAGCCAATGATCCACAAGAACTCGACTCACCTTTAAAATCAACCAACTTAATAATGTTAATCCGATCATCCATAACCCGAAAGATCAATCCTAGAGTCTCAATAATCCGATCATTAATTACTACAAAATCACGATTTAGATCAATATCAAGTTTTATGTTTGTATTATTTTCGTTAAAACGAATATATATTGCATTTCCGACATTCAATTGAGGCGTTTCAAGATTATTAAAAAGATAACTGAAAGACCATTCATACGTAAGACGACATCTCAGCCCAAAACTATATGAATATCATCCAAAAATTCATTGTAAGTCGCTTGATATTCACTTCAAAATCCACTTTAATTTCTTATTCAAAATTATTATTATTTATTTTAAGTTAAATCTAAAAAATAAACATGAATACGTGTGTGAAGATCAAACGTCATCCCCGATAGGTCCCCAGAAATCTCTCTGGCATACCCGGGTTAACTATAATCGTACCCATTCAACATGAGACGTATACCCAAGTTATACTTATACTTATGTCCGTCTTGTACTCATCTCGGAGACGTATTAAGTACATAAAATGGTATCAGATTACCATACCCGTGTAACATAGTTTAATTTAATAAAAAATTAAAATTAAAAATCAAAATATTATTTAAAAAATTGAGTGCAAAAGATGAATATGTTTTTTTAATTAATGATTTTCTTTACTTTTCTTTTTGTCACTTTTACACAGAGCTTATGTCCAAATGAAATAATTTTTCATCAATTTGGAAATATAAATAGGAGACAATGCTTCACCCATCTTCAATTATTGATCTTTCTGGCCATATATATATATATATAAATACAACACAAATATTATTTTGAATACATAAGATTCTTCTTCCTTGAAAGCCCAATATTTTATTAAACGATTATTTCTCTTTTGATGAACATAGTCTTCAAGTTGAACCTGAAAGTCAACAACAAACTTCTTTAATTCACAGTCTCTGCAAATCAACTATAGATTGATCCAATTTAAAATCCGTCTCAAAAGATTTATCTATTTCTACATGTACTTAAACTTACCAATTTTCTTCGGATGGTAGAAAAAAGGAATTGAATTTATAACATATTCTTTTCCTACATTGTCCATTTCTTGACCATCTATTTATAAGAGATAAAATAAAAGAACTATAAACCGATCAAAATTTAAATTCGTAACAAAAGATTTATCCATTTCTACATGTTACTCAAACTTACCAATTTTCTTCGGATGGTAGAAAAAAGGAATTGGGTTTATAACAGATTCTTTTTCTGCATTATCTATTTTCTGATCATCTATTTATAAGATATAAAATAAAGAATTATAGACCGATCAAAATTATTTAAATTTGTAACAAAAGATTTATCTATTTCTACATGTTACTGAAACTTACCAACTTTCTTCGTATGGTAGAAAAAAGGAATTGGGTTTATAACATTTTCTTTTCCTGCATTGTCCATTTCCTGACCATCTATGTATAAGAGATAAAATAAAAGAATTATAGACCGATAAAAATTTCAGTTTGTAACAAAAGATTTATCCATTTCTACATGTTACTGAAACTTACCAACTTTCTTCGGATGGTAAAAAAAAGGAATTGGGTTTATGATATATTCTTTTCCTGCATTGTCCATTTCCTGACCATCTATTTATAAGAGATAAAATAAAAGAGTTATAGACCGATCAAAATTTAAATTTATAACAAAAGATTTATCCATTTCTACATGTTACTGAAACTTATCAACTTTCTTCGTATGGTAGAAAAAGGAATTGGGTTTATAACATATTCTTTTCCTGCATTGTCCATTTCCTGACCATCTATTTATAAGAGATAAAATAAAAGAATTATAGACCGATCAAAATTTCAATTTGTAACAAAAGATTTTTCCATTTCTACATGTTACTGAAACTTACCAACTTTCTACGGATGGTAGAAAAAAGGAATTGGGTTTATGACATATTCTTTTCCTGCATTGTCCATTTTCTGACCATCTTTTTATAAGAGATAAAATAAAATAATTATAAACCGATCAAAATTTAAATTTGTAACAAAATATTTATCCATTACTACAAGTTATTGAAACTTACCAACTTTCTTCGGATGGTAGAAAAAAGGAATTGGGTTTATAACATATTATTTTCATGCATTGATCATTTCCTGACCATCTATTTATAAGAGATAAAATAAAAAATTATAGACCGATCAAAATTTAAATTTGTAGCAATATTTATCCATTTCTACATGTTACTGAAACTTACCAACTTTCTTCGGATGGTAGAAAAAAGGAATTGGGTTTATAACATATTCTTTTCATGTATTATCCATTTCCTGACCATCTTTTTATAAGAGATAAAATAAAATAATTATAGACCGATCAAAATTTAATTTCTTAACAAAAGATTTATCCATTTTTAATTGTTACTAACTTACCAACTTTCTTTGGATAGTAGATAGCAGGAATTGGGTTTATAACATACTGTTTTTTGCTTCTTTAGTTGTTTCTGTCTGAAACTTTTCTTTCGTTTCATCATTATACCCCTCGCCTGGCCCTTTTCTTGCTGCGATTGTGTTAGAAAACTGCATAATAATTAACCAATTTTCTTCGGATGGTAGAAAAAAGGAATTGGGTTTATAACAGATTCTTTTTCTGCATTATCTATTTTCTGATCATCTATTTATAAGATATAAAATAAAGAATTATAGACCGATCAAAATTATTTAAATTTGTAACAAAGATTTATCTATTTCTACATGTTACTGAAACTTACCAACTTTCTTCGTATGGTAGAAAAAAGGAATTGGGTTTATAACATTTTCTTTTCCTGCATTGTCCATTTCCTGACCATCTATGTATAAGAGATAAAATAAAAGAATTATAGACCGATAAAAATTTCAGTTTGTAACAAAAGATTTATCCATTTCTACATGTTACTGAAACTTACCAACTTTCTTCGGATGGTAAAAAAAGGAATTGGGTTTATGATATATTCTTTTCCTGCATTGTCCATTTCCTGACCATCTATTTATAAGAGATAAAATAAAAGAGTTATAGACCGATCAAAATTTAAATTTATAACAAAAGATTTATCCATTTCTACATGTTACTGAAACTTACCAACTTTCTTCGTATGGTAGAAAAAGGAATTGGGTTTATAACATATTCTTTTCCTGCATTGTCCATTTCCTGACCATCTATTTATAAGAGATAAAATAAAGAATTATAGACCGATCAAAATTTCAATTTGTAACAAAAGATTTTTCCATTTCTACATGTTACTGAAACTTACCAACTTTCTACGGATGGTAGAAAAAAGGAATTGGGTTTATGACATATTCTTTTCCTGCATTGTCCATTTTCTGACCATCTTTTTATAAGAGATAAAATAAAATAATTATAAACCGATCAAAATTTAAATTTGTAACAAAATATTTATCCATTACTACAAGTTATTGAAACTTACCAACTTTCTTCGGATGGTAGAAAAAAGGAATTGGGTTTATAACATATTATTTTCATGCATTGATCATTTCCTGACCATCTATTTATAAGAGATAAAATAAAAAAATTATAGACCGATCAAAATTTAAATTTGTAGCAATATTTATCCATTTCTACATGTTACTGAAACTTACCAACTTTCTTCGGATGGTAGAAAAAAGGAATTGGGTTTATAACATATTCTTTTCATGTATTATCCATTTCCTGACCATCTTTTTATAAGAGATAAAATAAAATAATTATAGACCGATCAAAATTTAATTTCTTAACAAAAGATTTATCCATTTTTAATTGTTACTAACTTACCAACTTTCTTTGGATAGTAGATAGCAGGAATTGGGTTTATAACATACTGTTTTTTGCTTCTTTAGTTGTTTATGTCTGAAACTTTTCTTTCGTTTCATCATTATACCCCTCGCCTGGCCCTTTTCTTGCTGCGATTGTGTTAGAAAACTGCATAATAATTAACCAATTTTCTTCGGATGGTAGAAAAAAGGAATTGGGTTTATAACAGATTCTTTTTCTGCATTATCTATTTTCTGATCATCTATTTATAAGATATAAAATAAAGAATTATAGACCGATCAAAATTATTTAAATTTGTAACAAAAGATTTATCTATTTCTACATGTTACTGAAACTTACCAACTTTCTTCGTATGGTAGAAAAAAGGAATTGGGTTTATAACATTTTCTTTTCCTGCATTGTCCATTTCCTGACCATCTATGTATAAGAGATAAAATAAAAGAATTATAGACCGATAAAAATTTCAGTTTGTAACAAAAGATTTATCCATTTCTACATGTTACTGAAACTTACCAACTTTCTTCGGATGGTAAAAAAAAGGAATTGGGTTTATGATATATTCTTTTCCTGCATTGTCCATTTCCTGACCATCTATTTATAAGAGATAAAATAAAGAGTTATAGACCGATCAAAATTTAAATTTATAACAAAAGATTTATCCATTTCTACATGTTACTGAAACTTACCAACTTTCTTCGTATGGTAGAAAAAGGAATTGGGTTTATAACATATTCTTTTCCTGCATTGTCCATTTCCTGACCATCTATTTATAAGAGATAAAATAAAAGAATTATAGACCGATCAAAATTTCAATTTGTAACAAAAGATTTTTCCATTTCTACATGTTACTGAAACTTACCAACTTTCTACGGATGGTAGAAAAAAGGAATTGGGTTTATGACATATTCTTTTCCTGCATTGTCCATTTTCTGACCATCTTTTTATAAGAGATAAAATAAAATAATTATAAACCGATCAAAATTTAAATTTGTAACAAAATATTTATCCATTACTACAAGTTATTGAAACTTACCAACTTTCTTCGGATGGTAGAAAAAAGGAATTGGGTTTATAACATATTATTTTCATGCATTGATCATTTCCTGACCATCTATTTATAAGAGATAAAATAAAAAAATTATAGACCGATCAAAATTTAAATTTGTAGCAATATTTATCCATTTCTACATGTTACTGAAACTTACCAACTTTCTTCGGATGGTAGAAAAAAGGAATTGGGTTTATAACATATTCTTTTCATGTATTATCCATTTCCTGACCATCTTTTTATAAGAGATAAAATAAAATAATTATAGACCGATCAAATTTAATTTCTTAACAAAAGATTTATCCATTTTTAATTGTTACTAACTTACCAACTTTCTTTGGATAGTAGATAGCAGGAATTGGGTTTATAACATACTGTTTTTTGCTTCTTTAGTTGTTTCTGTCTGAAACTTTTCTTTCGTTTCATCATTATACCCCTCGCCTGGCCCTTTTCTTGCTGCGATTGTGTTAGAAAACTGCATAATAATTAACCAATTTTCTTCGGATGGTAGAAAAAAGGAATTGGGTTTATAACAGATTCTTTTTCTGCATTATCTATTTTCTGATCATCTATTTATAAGATATAAAATAAAGAATTATAGACCGATCAAAATTATTTAAATTTGTAACAAAAGATTTATCTATTTCTACATGTTACTGAAACTTACCAACTTTCTTCGTATGGTAGAAAAAAGGAATTGGGTTTATAACATTTTCTTTTCCTGCATTGTCCATTTCCTGACCATCTATATATAAGAGATAAAATAAAAGAATTATAGACCGATAAAAATTTCAGTTTGTAACAAAAGATTTATCCATTTCTACATGTTACTGAAACTTACCAACTTTCTTCGGATGGTAAAAAAAAGGAATTGGGTTTATGATATATTCTTTTCCTGCATTGTCCATTTCCTGACCATCTATTTATAAGAGATAAAATAAAAGAGTTATAGACCGATCAAAATTTAAATTTATAACAAAAGATTTATCCATTTCTACATGTTACTGAAACTTACCAACTTTCTTCGTATGGTAGAAAAAGGAATTGGGTTTATAACATATTCTTTTCCTGCATTGTCCATTTCCTGACCATCTATTTATAAGAGATAAAATAAAAGAATTATAGACCGATCAAAATTTCAATTTGTAACAAAAGATTTTTCCATTTCTACATGTTACTGAAACTTACCAACTTTCTACGGATGGTAGAAAAAAGGAATTGGGTTTATGACATATTCTTTTCCTGCATTGTCCATTTTCTGACCATCTTTTTATAAGAGATAAAATAAAATAATTATAAACCGATCAAAATTTAAATTTGTAACAAAATATTTATCCATTACTACAAGTTATTGAAACTTACCAACTTTCTTCGGATGGTAGAAAAAAGGAATTGGGTTTATAACATATTATTTTCATGCATTGATCATTTCCTGACCATCTATTTATAAGAGATAAAATAAAAAAATTATAGACCGATCAAAATTTAAATTTGTAGCAATATTTATCCATTTCTACATGTTACTGAAACTTACCAACTTTCTTCGGATGGTAGAAAAAAGGAATTGGGTTTATAACATATTCTTTTCATGTATTATCCATTTCCTGACCATCTTTTTATAAGAGATAAAATAAAATAATTATAGACCGATCAAAATTTAATTTCTTAACAAAAGATTTATCCATTTTTAATTGTTACTAACTTACCAACTTTCTTTGGATAGTAGATAGCAGGAATTGGGTTTATAACATACTGTTTTTTGCTTCTTTAGTTGTTTCTGTCTGAAACTTTTCTTTCGTTTCATCATTATACCCCTCGCCTGGCCCTTTTCTTGCTGCGATTGTGTTAGAAAACTGCATAATAATTAAGCAATGGAGAGTTTTTAATCATGAGTTTTATCAATATTTGATATTGTAATTATTTTACTTTAATTTTGACTAAATTTGTATTCATTTTAAAAATCAGATATTTAGATGTTACGTTGTACGTGGATAGTATAGTAATTTAAATTTAACTTTTTATTTATCAAATACTATTTTGTATTAATTTAACTATTTTATCATAAAAAGTACATATTTTATCATTTTCAGAGGTCCTAGATTTGATAAGCCTGTACATCCTATAGATGCAATTATTCGAATTCAGGATCTCTAGGGAGAATAACAATCATTTTTACTTAGTAATGGGCATGGGCCGGGTTAGGTTTTCGACCAACCCAATACGACCCAAAAAAGTATGCACTCACTACCCAAAATCTGACCCGACTTGAGTTTAAGGTGATTTCACCCGACCCGAAATAAATATATTTATAAAAATTATTAATTTTATTTGATATAATAGGAATCTAATTGAAAAAAATATATATAGAGAGATATTATTATAATTATCCCTAAATATATAAGATATGATTACATTATTTTTATAATCAGATATTGTTCACAATAAATTTGAACTCGATCTGATCTGAACTTATTTTTTTTTAAATCTGGCCCAACAAAATCGGGTCAAGACTAAACATGTTAAATTCGAATCTAGTACCAATCCCTATTTTTATAACTAAAACCACTACATGGATTATTAATTACTTGTTTTTCAAACATAAATGCTTAAGGAATGTAAAGAAAATAATGAGGAAAAAGAAAATGTACCAAAAGTATGCAGAGGAAAAAAAATTATATTATATTTTAAATAAGTGTCACCTAACCAATATTAAATAGCAAATTGTAGATATTATATTTTAATTGAACAAAAAGATAAGTAAGAGTCACGTTCGATTATATTATTAGGAAAAAAATTAAATAATCGAATAAATATTTCTATGATGTTTATAATTTTAATTGGTTATGATGACTCCTCTGAACGGGCTATTGACACTGGTGGCGAATTACAGAGTTTTCAAGGAAGAAAAAGAAGAAATGATAAATTATTTTTTTATGAAAAATTAGAAAATTTTTAAGAGAAAGAGATTATTTGATTTAAGTCTCTAATTAAATTAATATTTATATTCATTAATTTTTTAATTTATATTTTTAAATTTGTTAATATGAAATAATAGAGTACAATGATGATGATTCAGTGAATATATAGAGATTATGTTTTTCATATTTGATTAATTATTTTAAAATGTTGAATAAATGGTTTTAAAAGAAAAAAAATTAATCCCTTTGATAAACCGTGTGACACTTAAATCAAATATGGTTTAAGGGATCAGTTAAGGTACAAAGAAGCTGGAATATAGGATGAGAGGAGAGAAAATGGGTTTGGATATGTGGATGGATGTTCTCTTATTGTATGGATATGGGTCTTGACAAACGGATTTTGGGCCTAAATTTTTTTTGACAAGACAATATGTTAATACAAGATTGATCAAGTGGAGGAGGACCGAGATCTCCATTTTGAAGTCAAAAAGAGAATTACTGATAAACATTTATGCACATAAGAAAGCCATGCATTACATTTAGATACATATCTATTGAATTCACATTTCAAGCATCAAAGCATATTTTACAGATTTTTCAAGAAAATAAGAGAAGAAAAAGACAGAATTCAAGCCTCGAATAGAGGGATTTTTGTTCAAAGTGACTAAGCATCAAGGATTGCGGAGTCCAGTAAAGAAGAATCATTACTTCGATGTAGGGGCACATTACCCAAACGACATGATGTTTTCAAAAGAAGTTTTAAAGAAACTAAGCCTGATTTTTAGGGGTTTCTTGATGATGATTTCTAATGAATTTTTATAATAAGCTATGCCTAATTTTTAGGGGTTTCTTGATATTTTCAAATGATTTTTTAGAAACTAAGTCTGATTTTCAAAGGTTTCATGATGATTATTTCCAAATAATTTTTAAAGAAGCTAAACCTAATTTTTAGGGGATTCTTTATGAAAATTGTAAACAAAATATTTTAAGAAATTAAGCTTGATTTTCAAGGGTTTCTTAATGAGTAAGTCTTTCGAGCCATCAGTAAGTCTTTCGAGCATGATGCTTAAATCCTTCGGGTCATCTATAAGTCTTTCGAGCAAGATGATAAGTCCTTCGGACCATCCATAAGACCTTCAGGCAGGATATTTTCAACATTTCCTTTGCTCAATTCACAACACTTCGAATCAGCAACGCCCCACCAGAGGGGTTAACATTTCCTATTACTCGATTCACAACACTTCGAATCAGCTTAAGTCATTCGGGCCATCAGTAAGTCTTTCGAGCATGATGCTTAAATCCTTCGGGTCATCTATAAGTCTTTCGAGCAAGATGATAAGTCCTTCGGGCCATCCAAAAGACCTTCGGGTAGGGTGTTTTCAACATTTCCTTTGCTCGATTCACAACACTTCGAATCAGTAACGCCCCACCAGAGGGGTTCACATTTCCTTTTCTTGATTCACAACACTTCGAATCAGCAACACATCACTCAATGGATCAACATTTCTAGTGGAAAGATAATTATGAGAAGAACCCGTAGCTTGAAGAACTGAAGAAGGAGACTCAACCAAGAGAACGAAGCAAGATAACATCATTTGTAGTAAGGACTCAACGATTTCACAGAAAGAGAAGAATTGAAATTCTCAGCGAAGAGTTCACAGCTTGACAATAAGAGACCACGTTGAAAAATGGTGCTTTGAGTCTTTGCTCTATTCTCGTTTCACAGCAATGATAAAAGAGGGGCAGTTGTAAGCACCATTTTTCTAATTCAACCAATAGACCAGGGCCTCAATCCAACCCATTACAAAACCTGGCCCAAACCGAAGTAAAACCTAAACCAGTGCCCAAACCCAACCAGATCCAAACCCAACCAGAACCCAGATTTAATACCCAACCTAGGGCCCAAAACTAGACCCGACCCGGGTCTACCCTAACCCTAGGGTAGCCGCCTCATTCACCAATCAGCACCTGCCCTCCTCTCACCTAATCCCAGTCGAGGCCTCCACGCACGCCACTTCTGCCAACACTCCATCACCTGTAGAAACAAGCAAGAAAAAAAACAAAGTTTTGAATCATTTCATTATGTAAAAAATAAGTATAAAGACCCATGCATGTAACTGTAAAGGAAGAGGGGTCGAGCACACTGTAATTTTCTTTTTTCGAAGCAATAAAACCATAAGCAGTCAAGGTTACTTTTTTCTGTTGTTTTAGTTCGAATCACTTTTAGCCTTTTTATTTTTTTGTACTATTTTTGGTTCTAAATATCAGTAAAAAAGGGATAGTTTTTTATTTTCAAAATAAAACACTACCCTTTTTTCTAGTTTTGTTTCTAATACTAACAACATTTTGAAAATGAAATAAAATAATAATAAAGTTTTTTATCGAATAATCACCATAATAACCAGTTTCATAGTAAAAAAAACTAAAAAAAGGGGGTTAAATCGGGGCTTACCTGAGTCATCATAGGTGTCGCCGGAGTCGGCGAAACCCGAAGGGTTTCGGGGGGTTTTCGGGTAGTTTCGGGTTGTTTTTAGGTGGTTTTAACCCCTAAAAAGGACCTAACATTGTAGATATACATTTATGGAGTATTTTGGGTAAATTTGGGGTTTTCGATGGCTGGAGGTGGAGCGGTAGCCGATAGTGGGCCGGCCGAAACCAAGCAAGAGAGGATAGAATCTCTCTCATTTTTTTTCTAAAAGCACGTTGCAAAAGAAAAAAAGCCAAAAGTTGTATTTATAAAATGTTTTAGGGGAAATTTACTTTTAGGCCCCCTAACAATTTGCGCGTTTTTGCACTCTTGTCACTGGAAGGGACTGATTTCATGATTTTACCATTTCTATCCATGCTTTATAATTTTTGGAATAATTTCCTTTTAGTCCCCTACTTTTAGTGTGTTTTTACACTTTAGTCATGTGTAGTGGCCTTTTAAATTTTTTAAAATTGAGTAGACTGATTTTGTAATTTTTCCTTTTAATTTAACAGATTATTTTTATGCTTAA